GCCGACAAATATTTAGGCAATTCTAGTGAGGGCGCCCAGACCCATGTAGATGACGTAGGCTATAGCACACGAAAATTTGAGAATCGGGCAAAATTCTAATTTTATGGCACTAATACGCCAAAACAAAAGAGGAAAGGGCATGGCGAGGCGATGGATATTGTTCTTTAGGTCGCTTTTTATATGCCAGCAAAATTTTAGGCGAATCGGCTCTGGTCGCCCGGACCCATGCATATGTTACGGGCTATAGCACACAAAAATTTGGGAATCAAGTGAAATTCCATATTTATGGCCCTAAAATGCCAAAAAACGAGGAACGTTCATGGCGAGGCGATGATTATTGTTCCTTAGGTCATTTTTGATGGGCCAGCAAAATTTAAGGCGATTAGGGTCCGGGCAACCGGACCCATATAGATAGCGTGGGCAAAATTCTAATTTTATGACCCTAAAATGCCAAAAAACGATGGACGATCATGGTGAGGCGATGGCTATTATTCCTTAGGTCATTTGTTATGGGCTGATATTTTAGGCAATTCGGGTCTGGTCCCCGGACCCATGCAGATGGTGTATGGGTAGCACACAAAAATTTGAAAATTGGGCGGAATTCCTATTTAATGGCCCTAAAACGCCAAAAAAGAGGAAGGGGCATGGCGAGACGATGAATATTGTTCCTCAGGTCATCTTTAAGGACCGGCAAAATTTTAGGCGATTCGACTCTGATCTCATGGACCCATGCAGATGGCGTGGGCTATAGCACACGAAAATATGAGAATCGGGCGAAATTCTATACTTATGGCCCTAAAATGCCCAAAATATGAACAACGGTCATGGTGAGACGATGGATATTATTCCTTAGATCATTTTTATGGGCCAACAAAATTTTAGGCGATTCAGGTCTTGGCAGATGGCGTGGGCTATAGCGCACAAATATCTAGGAATAGGGCATAATTCTAGTTTTATGGCCCTAAAACGCTAAAAAAGAGGAACGTCCATGGTGAGGCGATGAATATTGTTTCTTAGGTCTTTTCTGATTGTCCGGCAAAATTTTAGGCGATTTAGGTCCGGGCGCCCAGACCCATGTAGATGTCGTGGGATAAAGCACACGAAATACTAAGAATCGGGCGGAATTCAAATTTTATGGCCCTAAAATACCAAAAACTGAGAAACGACCATGGCAAGACGATTCCTTAGGTCGTTTTTTATGCGCCAGCAAAATTTCAGACGATTTAGGTTTGGTCGCCCGGGCTCATGCAGATGGTGTGTGCTATAACACACGAAAATCTGGAAAATCGGGAAGAATTCTATTTTTATGGCCCTGAGACGCCAACAATGAGGAACGGTCATGGCGAGATGATACTATTGTTTCTTAGGTCATTTTTTATGTACTGGAAAAATATTAGGCGATTCGGGCCCGGGCGATGGCGTGGGCTATAGCACACGAAAATCTAAAAATCGGGCGGAATTCCAGTTCTATGGCCCTAAAACGTCATAAAACGAGGAACTGTCAGGGCGAGTCAATGGATTTTTTTTCTTAGGTCGTTTTTGATGGGTGAGAAAAATATTAGGTGATTCGGGTTCGGTCGCCCGGAGCAATGCAGATGGCGTGGGGTATAGCACATGAAAATATAGGAATCGGGTAGAATTTCAGTTTTATTGAGCTAAAACGCCCAAAAACGAGGAACGGTCATCTCTAGGCGATGGATATTGTTCCTTAGATCATTTCGATGGGTCCAGTCGCCTGGATCCATGCAGATTGCATGGGCTATAGCACATGAAAATCTGAAAATCAGGCAGAATTCTAATTTTATGGCCCTATATCGCCAAAAAACGAGGAACGGTCATGGCGAGGCGATGTATATTGTTCCTTAGGTCGTTTTTGATGGGCCGGAAATATTTTAGGCGATTCGGGCTGGTCGCCTGGACCCATGCAGATAGCGTGGGATATAGCACACGAAAATCTGAGAATCAGGCGAAATTTCAGTTTTATAGCCCTAAACGCCAAAAAATGAGGAACGGTCATTGCGAGGCGATGGATATTGTTCCTTAGTTCATTTTTGATGGACCAAAAAATTTCTAGCCTATTCGGGTCCGGTCGCCCGGACTCATGCATATAGCGTGGGATATAGCACATGAAAATCTAGGAATCAGGCGGAATTCCAGCTTTATGAAATAAAACGCAAAAAAATGAGGAACGGCCATGGCGAGGCGATTAGGTCGCTTTTTATGGGGAGACAAAATTTTAGGCGATTCGGGTCCGGGCGTCCGGACGCATGCAGATGGCGTGGGGTATAGGAATTGGGCGGAATTCTAATATTATGGCCCTTAAATGCTAAAAAAGAGGAACGGTCATGGATAGGCAATGACTATTGTTCCTTCGGTCATATTTGATGGGTCGACAAACTTTTAGGCGATTCGGGCTCTGTCGCCCGTACCCATGCAGATGGCGTGGGCTATAGCACGCGAAAATCTGGGAATCGTGAAGAATTTAAGTTTTATGGTTCTAAAACGATAAAAATGAGGAACGGTCATGGAGAGGCCATGGAGAATATTCCTTAGGTTATTTTTTATGGGCTGCCAAAATTTTTTGGTGATTCGAGTCTGGTCGCCTGGACTCATGCAGATGGCGTGAGTTGCACACGAAGATTTGAGAATGAGGCGCAATTTCAGTTTTATGGCCCTAAAACGCTAAAAAAAGAGGAACGGTCATGGCAAAGAGATAACTATTGTTCCTTAGGTTGTTTTGATGGGCCAGAAAAACTTTAGGCGATTCGGGTCCGGTCGCCCGGACGTATACACATGGTGTGGGTTATAGCACACGAAAATTTGAAAATCAAGCGAAGTACTAGTTTTATGGCCCTAAAATGTTAAATACGAGGAACGGTCATGGCGATGTGATAACTATTATTCCTTAGATCGTTTTCGATGGGATGAAAAAAATTTAGGCGATTCGGGTTTGGTCGCTCGAACCCTTGTAGATTGCGTGAGCTATAACACACGAATATCTTGGAATCAGGTGAAATTTCAGTTTTATGGTCCTAAAACACCAAAAAATCGAGGAATGGTCATGGCAAAGCGATGGATATTGTTTCTTAGGTCGTTTCGATGGGTCGGCAAAATTTTAGGTGATTCGGGTCCGGTCGCCCAGACCCATGCAGATGGTATAGCCTATAGCACATGAAAATCTGAAAATCGGGTGAAATTCCAGTTTTATGACTCTAAAACGCCAAAAAACGAAAAATAGACACACCATTTCGTGTGCTAATAGTGTCTATCTTCTTGAAGTCGGGCGGCAAGTTCCGAATCGCCTAAAATTTGCGGGCTCATCGGAAACAACCTAATGAACAATAGTCATCGCTTCTCCATGATTGTTCCTTATTTTTTTGCATTTTGTAGGTCCATAGGAAACAGCCTAGTGACCACTACTCATTGCTTCGCCACAACTTTTGGATTTATTTTATTGTATTTCGGGGTCATTCAATACAAACTTATGATTATATCCACTTTTTCGTATATATTAGTACATGTTGATTTTGTATTAAAAAAATTACGGATTCTGATTGGCCTAAAATTTCGTAGGTCCGTTGGAAATGGCCTAGTGACCAATATTCCTTGCTCCGCAATGACTTTCGAGTTCATTTTATGGTATTTGATGGTCATAAAAGACGAGTTTGTGATTATATCCACTTTTCGTATGTTTGGTGCATGCTGATATTGTAGAACTTTTTTGACAGACTCTAATGGACCAACGTTCATTACTTCGCTATGAGTTTCATGCAACACAAATTTATGATTATATTACTTTTTCGTGTATATCTGTGCATGCAGTAATCTTTTGGGGGCAATGCATTAGATGCTTCGATTCAAGTTCCAGACCTTTTTCGCCATTGCCCAAAAGGTAGTCCATGTATATCATCTAACTGTACAGTACCAATATACAAAGCCCTGATATGGCAGTTGTCAACAGAAGACCATAGTTATGCAAAGAAAACACAGAAATCAGAATTTTTCGCTTCTTAACTTCTGGAAAATGGAAGTTTTTTCAGTTTAAGGTTGTACATAATGTTTATCTTTTGCTCTCTATGGATTAGAATTCAGTGGTAGATTTGTTTGGTATGTCTCTCTATATTGCAGCATATTCTCTTCGTCGGAGCTATGAGAAAATTTCAGATTACTTATTCTCAAGTTTCATGATATCAGAGCTTTGGTATTAGACTCTTGATCCAATTGTTTAAATGGGCTAACAAAAACTAGAGATTCTTCTGAAGCAGCTGCAGGAAGCCTCAGTGTCTCATCTCAGAGACTACCTCGTCGAACGGCGAAGAAGCATATGCAAAGAGAACGGCAAATTTACGGGGTTTTGGGAAGCATTTATACAGAGGATATATTTCATTCCGTCAGCTGACTTAACAACAACAACAACAACAAACTCAGTGTAATCCCACAAGTGGGGTCTGGGAAGGATAGTGTGTATGTAGCCTTACCCCTAACTTTGTAGCAGTGGCGAAGCTAGAAATTTTTTCAAGGCTGTTCAAATTTGAAAGAAGTGAAAAAAAGTTCCCGACAAAGGGTGTTCAATATGTGTTATATACCTCTAAAACGTAATATTTTGCCTATATACACAATGTAATTTTTCGACGAAGGGTGGTCAGTTGACCACCCTTGTGACCATGTGGCTTCGCCACTGCTTTGTAGAGAGGCTATTTCCAATAGACCCTCGGCTATGGAGAAGCATAGAGCTGACTCAGTTGGTATAAATGAATACTGCTTCTTTTGACAATAGCATGTTTTACTCTACTGTTTCTCTCCATCAGTAGCAATTAAGGTTTGATATCAGAAGAATTATATCATTGAGATAAGAAACATACAAATACTCATACATTGAATTTTAAAAACATACATCAGTTTTATAGAACATACAACGTTCCATTAAAACTCAAAAATAGGAATAAAAGAAATTTAAAAAATAGGCTGAGAAATGGTAAGAGAAAATGGAAGTCAAAGGATTACCTCAACAACACTTTTACCTGTCTGGTTATATAGACATGAAGCACATTACACTGCAGGAAGATAAATGGTCTGCTGGAAGTCAGTAGTTGTTCTTTGAACCAACTTTGCTGAATTTTTATTGTCAGAACAACTTTCATCGTAGTTTACTCCAACATTAGTAATATTAAGTGCGATTCGCTAATCCTGTACGGAGCCAGCCTAAAAGATAGCTACAGTTTGCAGTAATACTATTTAATTCGATTAACATGGTGGGTTGTAGCTTACCAGTGCTACGTCCACAAAATGAAATGGAAACTAACGAGGATGGTTTAGTGCTACGTTTTCTTCTTGAATTTCCTCTGCACCTTCAAGTCGACCACAATCACAGATATATTGTCTCTGCTGCCCTTTTGGAGAGCAAGTCGTGTCAAGTACTCTGCAGCATCCTGAGCAGCAGGATCGACGTTTTCACCCCTTTCGTTAGTCAAAGTACCACCATTCTTTTTGTGCCAGAGAAGAATTCGTCTCCTTGCCACCTCACAAGCTTCTTCATTTGTCAAGACATCCCAAAGACCGTCACTTGCTAAAATAAGACAGTCGTCATCTTTTACTCGGGGTACAAACATCATTTCTGGATCTGGAATCACATAAGGCCTTAAATATCTATCACCTGCAGTAAAATGACAACCTTGTCAGACCAAGAAAGTTTTGATCTCTAGGATAACAGTTTCAAAATAATAAATGTGAACAGAGAATTTTCTTGTTAAGTAATAGTTAAGTAAGATGCAGTTTTTGGATGACACGCTAACCTACAATGCGGATAGCAAACAATAGGAGAATACATCCATATTTGTATTTGAAGTCAATCTTATGAAATTTGCCGAACGGCTTATTGTTTAATATTGTTGATATGGGGTTTTGTTGAATTAATCACATTGAGCAATTCCATATTATGTGTGATCTTTACATTTGTACCAGGTCAACTGAAGTCAGAGATTGTGTTTCAACACCAGTGGGTTCAGGGCTGAACTTCCATACACTATATTATGTATGTTATATCACTTCCATTTTGGTGCATGTGAATGTTTGGTCCAATTATGGTGTAGCTTTACAATTCCATTTATAGCTTGATACCTATTTCCCCATGTACAAACTAAGGACGATATAGATTACTCGCTTAACCCTCTCCAACCAATAATGAAAATATAACAGTACAATCACAGTCACACTTCCGTGCAGATAGTACAATATACATACCAATCGACCTTGAAACTGCAAGAACACCAGAAACACGATGTCCATCCCAATTAATGACCTTCCCTCCCAATGCTTCTATTCGCGAACACTCATCTTCTCTATTTGGCTGAAAACAATTAACATAGTTGAAGAAGATTATATGGTTGCAAAGAAAGCCAAACAAATGTTGCAGAATGGTATAAAAACAAGCATAAGCCTTACTTTATGATCAATGGACAACGGCATGGGTAATTTCCCCCGACAAAGGACTGCCCTTGAATCACCACAATTTGCAACAATAATATGGGTTGGACTAACAACAGCAACTACAGCTGTAGATCCAACTGCTTCGGAGCAATAGGTGCAAGGTCAGGCTCAATACCGTCTGTTTCACTACCGAACCCTCGCACCTCATCATCAACTCTACAGAAACAATTCAAGAAAGCCTTTGACCATTGCTCCTTCCAGTTAACACTTCCATTATTATGTGAATCCTCTTTCGCAATATCTATCTCCTGTGCTAAAGCCATATGGATACGCTCACGACAATAATTAGCAACCTGCTACGAAAGGGGGAAAAAAACAGTTGGACGTAATATATGTGTACCTGAAAAATAAATACACAAGCACATAGGAAATGAACTCTAACATGCATGCAATAGCAACTTTTGTTTAACTAGAAACGAAACCAAATGTGTAACATCACAAGCAAAAACAGATGGAACGTTCACCTGAGAGCCTCCATGTCCATCATAAACCCCAAATAAATGGGCCGTTAGTGCTTGATTCTGGGCATGAGAAACTGGCAGATCCATCAACATTTGAGATGGGATTCTCAGAAACCTTGGTAAAGCTACTGCTGCATCTTCCATCTCCGGCCTCTTTCCTTGTATCGTGGTGAGCCCCCAAAGCGGCACAGAATCAAAACCAAAGACATTTGGCCTACTTATCTTCATCTCATTTGAACTCTCAAGGAGGGATGGTGGTAATTTTCTTTTATAATCTTCAGCACCCACAACCACACCGTTCATTCCAGTGGAAACAAGATCACTTACAAATTCTGACTCATTAACCAACACATTAGCCAAATCACATGAATAAGACTTCCTTAGATTCTGGGATACACCAACCTTCTTGTCTTCATCTCCAAACGTGCCGCCACGCTCATCCACTAGAGAATTAGAACAAGTCATATTTCCTAATAGCTCATCAGTTGATGAAATCAAATTATTGTCCCTAGATCTATCATTTGCATCAGTAGTTACCAAACAATTTCCAGTCGCTATCACTGTCGATGAAAAATTGTTCCCTTTCCTGATTTCATGGCAATCGGCAACTGTCATAAGGTTAGCGTTATCCCGTGGCACCCTAGTATTCTGATTAGCAACGGACACCGAAGGAAGCTTGCACTTTGTGTTTGGTACCAGCTCATATCCGCTGAAGTCCATACGAGTGGGTAGTACTGATTCATCATATATCAATTTTCCCTGTTTATATGATACAGCAAGTGTTGGTAACATCTCTTCCATCACTACCCTTCTTCTCTTAGCACTAATCCAAATTTCAAACCCCTAAAATAAACTAATAAAAAAGCCAAAAAATGGTTTCAAAAGCCAAAATAAGTCACTTATTCTCCCTTAGAAGAGAAACAAGGGAGCTGAAAAAGAAGCTTAGTTCAAACAGGTAATCTATGACATAAGAGAGAATATGGATCCAAAGTCCAAACTTCTGTTTCAAGGGGAATCACTATCCATAAAATATATGCTAGAATTATTAGACCTTATTCAGCATCTTTGTACACTTCTATTCCAATTCGATCCTTCTTTATCCCAAAGCCTCAATTCAATAACCAAGAATCGATTTTTTATCACCAATTATATACCCAATTAATTGGAAAACAACAAATCAGGTCTTTAATGTATAGTGGTCACTGCTTCTTTGAAACAAGACAGAGATACAACATAGAAAGAATAATAAAGATTCAAACTTTATTTAAAAGAGAGAACTTACAAGCTCAAATCAGACCACACATCAAATTGCTCAGCCAAAAAAAACATAACTTTTTTCCTCCAAATTTCAACACAATCCCAGGAACCACTAGCAACCCAATTTCAAGATTCCTGATTTATACGAACAAACTTAATTATCTTAGCACATAAAGTTAATTGAATCAAAAAAGATTGTGAGGAACCAACAACAACCAAGAACCCCATGATTCAACAGTCAAACAAATCAAATATGATGCATGTAAGCATTTGTTATTAGTCTAATCATTCTATATTTATTGGTGGTATTGATTAGATAACACAAATCAATTAATACAATAATCCAAATAAACAAATACACAAATCATAAAAAAATGAAGGAAGGTAAGTAAGAAGTTGCTTACCGTTTCAAAACAGTATGCATTAATGACACACTAAAATTAAAAGAAAGAAAGAAAATGTAATAAAATAGTAATGTAAAAGACTGTAGAAAACAGATTAGAAAGCAAAGTATGTGATGTGTCAAGGATTGGAAACTTTTGTACACTAAACAAAACTTTGCCTTTATAAAATTTCTTAGTCAAGTGGGTCCCATTTACCAGACATCTGTCCTAACAGTTGGCTTCTTTTCATTCGTTCTGGACCCACCTCTTGATTTTTAATGTTTCTTTCGGTGAACTAATGGGATGATTTTTAGGAATAATAAATTAATTTTTGGTGGGTCGTCCCACACTAATTCTCTGTCCTTGCCACGTTGAGGTTTAGTTTTTGTGTTAAAAAATAAATAAATAAATGACACAGTATAGTCGCTCTTAAAATAATAATCGAAAAAATATAAATTTTTTCATATATATATACATTTTGTAAATATACTAAAATTAATCAAATTTTATATATTTTTTCAGCTATCGAATATAAATAATTTATGGCACAGGCTAAAGATAATAATACCAACAAAAAAAAAAGAAAAACTTTAGGGAGATGAGTAAAGACGGACAAACTGACGTTTAGCATCTTTTCCAATAAAAAATTATTTTAATTTTAGCGGTTAAAGGTGGTCTAGCTATTAATAGAAGTTGGAATTATTAATGGAGTTCAAATACCAGTAAAGACAATAAATATAAATAATACTAGTTAATTCCTTTTCATCCGTTTAAATTTTAATTTTTTTGATTTTTGTGCTGATGAATAATAATAAATATCTAATAAATTATTCGAGATATGCACAAATTAGCTCGAATAGCATCATAATTAAAATAAATTATAATTTTACTTTCTACTTCGTACCAGTGTGAGGCTAGTCTGATAGGATTTTGTCTTAGACTGCTAGTGGTTAATGTTACATTCACACTACTCTTCCGTTTTTCATAGTGTCGGGCCTTATTTACTGGTTATTGTTTTTGTTTTTCATTTGTTTTCTGATTCTTATGATGTTGTTATTATTTCTATGGTTTCTGTTGATGGTACTAATATATTGTTTCTTTTCGTCTTCTTGAGTCGAGGGTCTATCGTAAACAGCCCCTCTACTCCCTCGGGATAGGGTTAAGGTCTACGATTCTACGTACATACTACTCTCCCCAGACCCCGCTTGTGAAATTTTACTGGGTCGTTGTTGTTGTTGTTCTTGTTGTTGTTGTTGTTGATGATGATGGTATTTTGATCCTTTGTTGTAATTTCTTATCCTAATGTTGATTATGTGTTTCTTAAGCCGAGGGTCCGTCGGAAACAATTTCTCTATTTTCACAATGTAAGGCTAACGTCTGTATATACACCACCTTCCCTAGATTTCACTGGTAAGATTATACTGGTATGTTATTGTTGTTGTTGTTGTCAAAGGAGTTTAGTATTACTGCTGTGTTACTCCACCAAAAACTGGACAATTGCCCCAATTTCATCCATAATTCCAATGTTAGCCCAACCTCCGAATTGTTAATCAAAGGACGAGTGGAAATATTATCCAACTACCGATTAGTATTTGGTTATCTTAGAACTCAATTTTCTTTCACAACTTTATTCGGGAAATGAAGATTTACTATGAGCCAAAATCAATAGGAGTAGATATCTTCCATTAAAAAAAGAAAAAGGGAAGCTTATTTTTTCGTTAATTATGGCTGACTTTAAGACACTTGGTGAAATCTTAGTGAGTTCTGTAAAAAAAGTATACTAATCTACTTTTAAACCAATAATTTAAGTTATATACACCAATAGTGTATAGTTTTCATCTCATTATATTGTATGGCTGATTCAGGATTTGATGACTACGGGTGCCACTGTCTAAATCTACCATTAGTGAAGAAGATTGAATTATAGTGTATATTGAGTCATTTCGATCCATTCGAATTAATTCGGCTTGTTTCAGTTCGATTCATTCTAAATTAATTTAGCTCGATTTACAAGATTTTTATGCATGAATAAATACATTATCTCCAAACTGAATAAGTTTTGTCCAATTCGATCTAATTCTCTTGATTCAAATTCTATTTGTTTATGTGACTTAAAAATATAAGCTAAAAATAATATTTTTTTAATCTACGCATAACTAGATTAATATTATGTCTATCGATGCCATCATTCTACAAACATGAATCCAAGGAAAAGATAATATTATATGGATAAAAAGAGAAAAAATGATTAAAATCACAAGTATTTGAAAATGTAGAAAAAATGAAAAAAGGAATCAAACATATAATTTAATAAATAATAAAAATGGGGATGTACAAAAAGAAAGAACTGGAAAAGGGAACAAGGGTGAGTAAATTGACTTGGAATTTAGCAGAGTCTTGATCTTGCATCTTGCGTGGGGAAATTGCTAGTTTAAACATGGTACCTAGAGTTACTTTGTGATTGAGGGTGCCACTCTTTACTTATATAGATTTTCTTGTGTAAAATATTAATATAGACATAAAAATTTTTCCGAGCGTCTGGGTGGCATGGCACCCCAAACCCACTACATAGATCCGCCCCTGATTGTATGGAGCGGAGTCTTGGCCAGTCAAGAACGCTCATATCCAGAAGATGAAAGTAGCGCAAATGAGAATGTTGAGATGGATGTGTGGGTATACTATGAGAGAAATAGTTAGGAATGACCTCTATGGTAGACAAATGCGGGAATTGAGGTTGAGATGGTTCGGGCATGTGAAAAGGAGATGCACAAATGCCCTAATGAAGAGGTGTCAAAGGGTCGCAGTGGTGGGTCTAAGGAGAGGCAGAGGTAACCAAGAAGTATTGGGGAGAGGTAATTATGAATGACATTGCACGTCTTCAGCTTACTGAGGATATGACCCTTGATAGGAGGGTGTGGAGATGGGGTGTCACGACCCCAAATTTCCTCCGTAGGAGGTCGTGATGACACCTAGTCTTTAAGACTAGGTAAGCCTATCAATGCGGAATAATCATAAATATCTGGAATAAATAAACTACAATTCAAATAATTACAACTCCCAAAACCCGGTAGAAATAAGTCACAAGCTTTTAAGAATTTATTCTCTATGTCTCTATACATCAGAGTCTAAAGCAAATAAGGAGGACAACATAGTAAGATAGAAGGGGACTCCGGAGTCTGCGGACGCTGGCAGATATACCTCGAAGTCTTCGTACACAGATACTCACTAATGTCTAGACTGGTAAGAAGTACCTGGATCTGCACAAAAAGATGTGCAGAAGCGTAGTATGAGTACACTACAGCGGTACTCGGTAAGTGCCAAGTCTAACCTCGGTACAGTAGTGACAAGGTCAGGTCAAGCCCTACTGAAAAATAATAATAAATGGCATGGTAGAATGTTTCACAATATAATAAAATAAAATGACAATGGAAATGAATCAAATAGCATGTCACCATTTAATTACACAAAATAATGACAAATAATATCTCGGGGAATCAAAACAGAATTTCCTTTCATTTTTAAGAAAATCATAACAAATAATCAAAGGCAACTGCGGCCATAAATCAATATCTCATTTTCTTATCTCACCGCGGGAGCCTTCACAATTTATTTTTAAAGAAAATATTTTTTTTCTGAAATAGCATCCCGCGTTTTAGCCATCCTTATCATACCGCATGACTTTTAGTAATTTCCCTACTAGCCACGCGTATCAAGCCACCCTTATTTCACCGCATGCATTTCATACCCAAACCTTATACCACCGCATGCGTATCAATATCACAATTTACACCTCAAGTGCCCAAATATTTCAATTTGCCAAAATAATTCAACAACAATATTTTTTTTTCACAATAAAAAGCTCACGGCTCCATCACAAATCTTACAAAAATATTCAGGAATAAATAATTCAGTAAAATAATATTTTAAAGTCTTTAATACGTTGCTTCAATACCAAATTTTAAAATATCAAATACTTTATATTAATAATATTTAATTAAAGAAAATCAATCTTCAAATAATACACAGAATAAAAGAAATCAAGTTTCAACTAAACATATAAAGCAATCAGCAGGAAAAAGTCAAGGAAATTTAAAGTATATAAATCAAATCAATGATGGAGAATATAACAAGATTTAATAATTTAATTAATATGCAATAGTGATCTTCATAATTTAAGAACATAATCCTTCGTATTTAGTCCGTATACACACTCGTTACCTCGTGTACACGACTTTCATTACATTACAATTAATACAAATCCTAGAAAAAATTTTCCACACACAAGGTTAGACAAGTCACTTACCTCGACTTGCTCCAATTTAACCAAGTAGTATGCATTTTTCTCGATTTTTCGACTCCGATCAACTCGTATCTAGTCATAATTAATTCGATACAGTCAACAAATATTATAGGAATCAATTTCATAAGAAAATACTATATTTTTCAATAAAATCCGAAATTAGCTAAAAATTGCCTGTGGGGACCACCTCTCAGAATCCGGTGAAACTTACAAACTCCGGCAACCCATTCAATTACAAGTCTAACCATACTAGTTTCACTCAAATCTGACTCTGAATCGACACCGAAATCTCAAAAATTCATTTTTATGAGATTTCTAAAAAAATTCCAAATTTTCATCTCAATACACTAATTAAATGGTGAAAATAATGATATATTCGTGTATATTGACCAAATCCGAGTTAGAATCACTTACACAAATATTTCTCCTTAAACATCTGCTAAAAATCACTTCTACTCAAGCACAAGTTTGTCAAAAATGGCAACTAAGGACGAAATTTCCAGTTTTATAAACTGCCGAGGCAACCATCGATCCTGGCCTCGATCCTAGGCCTCGATCCCTAACCCTCGAGCCTTGCCTTCGATTGTGGCCCTCGAGCTGGGCATTCGATCATGCCTTCGATTGTGCCTTCGATCATGGCCCTCGAGTTGGGCCTTCGATCCTGCCTTCGATCATGGCCCTCGAGTTGGGCCTTTGATCCCGAGCCTCGTCCCT